CGTTTGCTAGAATTGTCCTGAAAGGTAGATTTCTGTTCGTTTTCTAGAATAATCTTGAAAGGTAGATTTGTGTTTGTTTTCTAGAATTGTCCTGAAAGGTAGATTTCTGTTCGTTTGCTAGAATTGTCCTGAAAGGTAGATTTCTGTTCGTTTTCTAGAATAATCTTGAAAGGTAGATTTGTGTTTGTTTTCTAGAATTGTCTTGAAAGGTAGATTTGTGTTTGTTTTCTAGAATAACCTTGAAAGGTAGATTTGTGTTTGTTTTCTAGAATTGTCTTGAAAGGTAGATTTGTGTTTGTTTTCTAGAACTGTCTTGAAAGGTAGATTTGTGTTTGTTTTCTAGAATAATCTTGAAAGGTAGATTTCTGTCTGTTTTCTAGAATTATTTTGAAAGATAGATTTCTGTTTGTTTTCTAGAATTATGAGTCTAGCACGATTTGAACTCGGCTTGATTTTTCATTTTCATACCAAAACAATAAAAAGTCTGAGTGCGCATGAAACATTATTATGTGCTGATTACCCCAATATCGAAAAGGCCAGGGTTCGATCCGGCATATTACTGAATATGCTTCGCAGTTTCTGCTTTGTAAAAATTTCAGTCAATATTCGGTTAAGAAAGACAAATAAAAGCCTTGTGGTGGCGGATGGTACTGGCTGGCTGCTATCCCTTAGGTTGTTTTTAAACCTTAGCATCTAAGCTGTCTGTTTAGCCCCCCCCCCTTACTCATAAGCTAATAATTCCAATTCCTCTAGAAAGACAAAATCGCAAAGAGCAAATATATTTACATACGTCAGGCTTGCTGGGGTATAAATACATTAAATACGTTAGGAGAGGTTGGCCTGGTGCAGAGCAAGGCAGAACTCACGGGTTCGACCATCAGTTACGTGGAGTAAAAATCTACTCTCGTCTGACCAGTGTATTCGTCGCCAGGTTTGAAGGTTCCGTGTTGACGGATTCATTCTCTAAATAAGCCTTTACTGCCCTAGAGCGATGAGGTCTAGCGTTGTCATCCATGAATAAAGGTCTTGACGCTAACGTGTGGTTGTCAAAATGAGGCACAACTACAGGTGTAAGCACGTCCCTGGTGTACTTTTCGCCAGTAAGGTTGCCATTGATTGTTACCAAATCCAGCTTGCAATCATGCGAGACACAGCCCCATACCATAACTGAGCCCCCACCAAAAGGCACTGTTGGAACAATGTTTCTTGGAGTGTAAGCTGCGTTACGATGCCTCCAAACCCAAGGAAGACCAGCAAGAAGTCCAGATCTCAACCCTATAAAATTGGGTAGGCGAATACAGGCTTTGGAGCCTCCTCCACAGACATTGCAACAGTTAGAAGCTCACTTGCACCGAGAATGGCGACAGATAACGCTTCAACAAATCAGACGTCTAACTGGCAGTATGCGGCGCAGGGTTGCAGCAGTTATCCAGGCAAACGGTGGATATACCCGATATTGACTTTTCGATGACTAATTATCAATGTGTGGGTCATGATTGACATTTTGTAATGTGATTTGACAATTCAATAACGTTTTTGAGCTTTCACTGACAATACTTATTAAAGATAATTTTAAGCGTGAAAACTGTCCATATTTTGATGTCATGATATGTAAATTAAAAATTGTTATCTTACGGTGATAATCTTGTTTTCTTGTGCCCAATAATGCATAATTTCATTTGATAAACACGTTTAGATTGAATGGTAATTTATAATCAGTCACAAGAACGTCGAATCTGAATCACTTGAAAAAAACACGGGGGTGCTTAACTTTTTTCCAGGTGTATATATTCAATTTTACACATTACTTTCTTAAATGATCACTTCAAAACAATTAATTTTATTATCTAGTTAATTTTGTTCAAAACAAACTTTCCCTCTGTTACATGCTATATTTCAGTTTGATACTGATGTAGTGGCTTTTATGAAACATATAAGAATATCAATATTCAAATGAACTGTATTTTGCAAATATTTAAAACATTAATAACATTCTGTACGAGTTATGAGAAGCCAATAATCTCCACAAACTGAGAAATCAGAAGACAATAATCTCCACAAAATTATAAATTTGAGGACTATCTCCACTAACTGAGAGACCCAAGAACAATAACTTTCATGAACTTACATTTCTCAAAACAATAATCTCAATGAACTGAGATATTTGAGGACAAAAAAAACTACTTGCCTGACAAAACCTAAAAGTATTTCCAATAGATACTCATCTCTTGCATCTGTCTGCCTATGAGATTTGCATGCCACTAGCCTGGAGGTTATTCCCACCTAAATTTCTGTGTTTAACATTAACTGCATGTGAAAAAAGACCTCCACCAATAGTAGGGTGACACAACGTCAATGTGCAGTAACTCCTCCAATGCATTTCATTCTTAGATAAGATAAAACAGAAAAAAAATGTGTACTGTAAGTGGGGAGGATGGGTGGAAATGTGTTAAGAGGCAAGTATCTATTGGAAATACATTTTCAGATAAAGAAAATGTTAACTTCCAACATAAAAACTCCCCCCCCACACACAGAAATGCTACAGTCCTACGTTAAAATGATGGAGAGGCAAGTTCAAAGTTTACCTGTGCAAGTTCCCTTCAGAAAGCACCCAAAGAGAAGCCCATAAAGTGTGACACCTGATGGAGGTCCATAGAGCTACATCTGTAGGAAAACGCATCTCACCTCGACCAAGGTATACCATTCACCTGAATGCAAGGGAGGAATGGCAAATGACCCTCAAGTATAACAGAGAGGGGATGGTGGAATGAAATCGTGACCCTCCGAACACTTGCAACACAAGAAGTTAGGGAGCCAATATGTGTAGTACGATTAAGGTGTGATCAGACTGTACAGTGTGTACTCACCTCGATTCTACTGAACAGGCTTTGGCTAGAGAAGTTGCATTATGTTTGTAAGGGGGTGACCAATACCACACGAACAGTGTCATCACCACCCCACTTCTCAGCATATTGTGTTGAACCCAACTAGTGAAGATTCTCCCTGGTTTACCATCCCAGCAGTGAGGAATTGGTAAGTGGCAAAGTTTTACATGCTCCACTTGACGAAGAAGGGGGGAAATACATGGTGTAAAGACATGAAGAAGTACCCAGGTACCTAATGGACCACCAGCTGGAAAGGTCTTTTACTGGAGACAGTGAAATGGATGACTGCAAATCTCTATTTTTAAAAGTCTGCAAGTGCAAGCCAAAGTAGTGAACAGAAACTTCCCTGGTGCAGGTTCTTTCCATGATAGTCTATGAAACTGGTACAGTCTGGATACGACAATTGAGTAAAATATGTATACCATGAAGATACCTTAAGTGGTCTTGCAGAATACCCTGTCTTGCAGTGGGTATTAGTAGAGCCAAGACGAATGTTTTAAGCACTTTCAGTTATCCTGATTCAAAATGAATTTTGGGAAATAAGCATACCCAGCTACCTGGTGGGATCCTGAATGAAAAAAGGGAGAGAAAGGAAAAATAAACACATTTACATCTCTAAAATAGTGGGTTGATTGAAGTATGATGACAGTTGGAAGTCAAAATCCCAAAGAAGACGAAACAGCCAGATGTTGAAGAGATTGACTGACAAACATATTGGAAGTCGTCCACATGCTCACCCAAATGATCTCATCCAGAAGCTGGAAAAGAAGAGAAGCAAGAGAATGAGAAAGGTGATGAATTTGATACAAAGAAATGTGAAATAGCCCATGACTATCCACATCTAGAGAAAAATCTATCAATCAGAAGAGTTGACAACAAGTAGGAGGAAATAAGACACAAGACAAAGGTGGTATAATGAGCAAGGAGCTACCGGCTTGAATAGGTCAAAAGTGAGAGCAAGCAAAACCACATTAAGGACCCACACAGGCATGGGAGTTGGGAAGGAAGATGGTGACGAAGGAATGAGTAAAGAGGACGGGGTATGAAAACACCCTGCATTACTTGGAAAGGCATAATATAGTGGACAGCACCAACACCATCCAATAACCAGCACGAACATATACCAAAGGGCAAGGTCAAGAAAGAAAAAAATTTAGGAAGATAATGAGGACTGAAGGTGTGCAACTTCAGTTCAGGTCTCCAGAGAGAAATTAGCTCCACCAAAGATGTCTGAGCAAAGAAAGGGAGCCTGATGAAGACCATGTACACAAGGAGGAGGAAAATGTACAGTTAAGAGGAATAAAACTTGACACAACAACCCAACAGCAAGTCTTCCGTCTTTGGAAGACAATCGAAAAGTCATCCTCTACACTTGTGTTTTTCCAACAGACAGTTGCCATCCATTCAACAAAGTTTCATCATGAATACTCTGCCTAAACAATCAATCAAAGAATATCATAAACCCTAACAACAAGCAAGGAGAAAAGACAAAGAAAATCCCAAAAACAAGAGTTCAGAGAATGAAGAATGAGAAATATTAAAGGACACAGGTAGAAGATAAGGAAAAAACACAACTGAGAATGAAATCCAGAAAGATATTAGAAGATGAAGATTACTCCTCAAATGGTAAGGCACTAACCAAAGCAAATTAAGTGAACTTCATAGTCTAATAGGCCATTCCCGAGGAAAAAGAACTTCAGCAGACAGAATGGGAATAGGAGCCTTAGTATCATGTTGTAATCCACAATATGTTACACAAAGGCTACAATGTCTGCAACAGTTAACAAGCCTCTAGAAGCCATAATAGAAATAAGGCATGTGTGTGTAATTTCATCGCTGGCACAGAAATAAGTACAAGTCACCATCATATGAGTGCATAGGAAGAGTTACTGTACGTGAAAGTTGTGTCACCCTCCTATTGGTGAAGGGCTTTTGTCAATGATGACATCATCATGCACGAGCACAGTTCATGTCAAACCTGTGAATTTTGGGGGAGTTACCTCAAGGCTAGTGACATAAAAAACTCGTAGGCAGATACATGAGTAAGATCACATTTTGATGTGTGGATGTGAGTTATCATCTCAGAACTGTATTTTTAATTTGAATATTAAAACCACCATTTTCTTAAATTGTTAAGATGATCTTTCATTAATAAGTAATAAATTACAAATCTTCAAAACTGAACTTGGTGAAAAGAAAATCCTTTTGTCAGTAACTGAAAACTAACCGGTATTCACAGCCTTAATATATATATATATATTATTATTATTATTATTAAAGTCTTATTTACTTAAGAGGGCAGAAAAATAAAACTCCTAACACATAAAGATTCTTCAATTCAACCTATTATTCATATACTTTATACAGATAAATACATTTAACCCTATTTTTAGTACTTTTGAGCTTATAGTCAACTAAAGGCAGAGTTTTGTACATATTAAGATCAACCAAGTTCTTTTTCTGTAGCTGTTTAAAACACTTAATTTATACCACAATGCAATGCAAGCATTTTAATGACTTAAATACTTCTAGATGTTCATATCTTATGTATTAAAAATTAACCATTTCTAAAACCTATTGTTATGGTTTATAGTTTCATTTCCACTTCCAAACTTTAGTTCCTTAGCTTTTGGAATTTCAGATGATGGGCTACTTGAGGGTCTTTATGCAGTTTTAAGCAGAATGATGTCTGCAGACAAAGAAATCTTAAATTTTCAGTTAAGCCTAATTTTGAAAATCAGGTTTTAAAAATATTTTATAAATACATTACTATTAATATATACAAAGTAGATATTTCTTGTTTCTGTGTTATGTTTTTTGTTTTGTTTGTAGTTAAGCACAAAGATACACAATCAACTATCTGTGTTGTACCCACCAAAGGTATTGAAACTCAGTTTTTAGCATTATAAGCCTTCACACTTATCACTGTGCAAATGGAGAGACTCGAGTTATGTCAGTACCTTCCAATTATTTTACAAACAAGCATAACAATGAGAAAAATACGAAATAGTTTTGTTTTTACTACTTCAATTTTAGAAATCTCACTCTAGATTGTATGATTACAATTTCTGTATTTTCCTCTTTTCAATTAACAATACTTTTTAACATGTCTCATTCTTCTAAATATAATTTCAAGGTCACTGGCAAAAGCATGGAGCTTTAGCTTAATCCAGAAGTCAGTTGATTTCATGATCAACTAGAAATCATAGAATTAGTAATAGATTTGCAATTTCATTAAATACTAAGTAAAACAGTTAAGATCTACACAGGTTGGATGATATTTTTAATGAACCCACAAGTGCACAAATATTAAGTGAAAACTTTAACAGATACAAGTTGAAGGTCATAATATCTATGTCTTAAAAAACTTCAAAGCTGAAACAGCTTTAAGAAATTTTCCAATGTTACAAACAAAGTTTATATTAAAACATTTAGCATCTATGTGTTACACAGAACATGTATTATGTTTTGATGGTATCACACTAAGAAACTTGTCTTACATGCTCATTATTATAGACAATTTCAAAAATTTATTAATATATATAAAACTTATTATATCATTTTCAGATACTTTCAGGAAATAGTTTGGTACATATGCTTCCAAGTAACATTATAGAGTTAAAACATTTTTGATCCCAAATGCAAATTCAGTCCTTGATTTTAATATTGTCAAGATTACATTATTCAACAAACAAAACAAGGCCATACACAGACCATACATGAATGACTATAATAGGTAGCATTCTTCGTACAGCATAATTTATGAATGTTTGGTAATTTTTTTCCAGAATATGACAAGACTGTAATTGTTTTTAAAGCAGAGAAAAGCATTTATAGAATGTGAACCTTTTCCTTTAATCAATGGACCCAAGATCATTTACAATATAGCTCAAAACAGCTTTCATCACAAGATTGCCTGCTTCAAAAAAAGCTACACATGAGCATTTTCTAATTAATCCTAACAAAAATTGAATATTAAAAATCAAAATTAAAGTTGTTTTTCCTTACAAAATATTCTGAAGTACATAACAAAACCTTAATCTTAAAAATCACTTCTATAAACAAAGCAATCCAAATACTCTAAAATCACAATATCAAATTCCATAAAAGTTCATTCATTGCAAAGGGACAAACCTAGTTAGAGCTCATAAAGTAATTTTTTTATGGCTACTCCACTAATCTCAACTACCCTATACAATTTCCAGGGAAGTAGTAACTTAAAGGTAATTTTGCATAAAACCAATTTTTGAATAATTCTGTATATATTCTAATTAGATTATACACACTTAAATTACAAATTTTATAATATTTTATACTTTACATTTTTCCCTTAAAACTGATGCTAAAGGAAGAAAATATTTTGTAAAGAATGCCAGTTGGGTTTCTTGAACATAGTCACGCAACACAGGTAGAAGCCAGCTTCTTGGAAATTCAGGGTTATCACTAAAAATAAACAAAAAAGGTTGTTATCTGATTAACATTATTAATTACAAATAATTTTTAATTGATGGTTAATCACACTTTATAAGAATGATGTGCCAGGTCTCTTGAAGCTACTTCCTCCATCATCAATTGTGCTGATAAGATGACCTTGATTATACACGATTGCCTGAATATCAGTGTATCTAGTTTCTGCCATATTTTCCACAGACTCTCCACTGAATGTACTTTGGCATCCACTCTGACATTTAAACAAACCAAAGGTATAGAAATCCATGGGTACACAAGCAGTTTACTTCACAGGTATGTCAGAGAAAGGGTGAGATTGAACATCTGTTTCATTTTCCATGATTCATAGAAATGCTGCTGTAGACTTAGATGGTTGACTCAGTCTTTATCCCAGGGTAGCCATCTTCTGCTGGCCATAGTGTAGGAAATTCATCTTGTTTAATTAGCGTTACTGTAATCTCCTGATAGAAACTACAGCTCACCTCTAATTTACTGTACACTTTCTGAAACTTAAAGTATCCATTAACCCTCTAGATACAAGCAGGTCAAAATGTGCATACCACAACCTTCTAAGGATTACATTCAAAATTTAATTAAACTACTTTTTTTATCACCAAATGTCAATAAACTTGGCATCAAAACATAGAGTATAACTCAAGTTTTAATTTCTTAATTTCAAAAGAAAATATTTACATCAATTCTCAATCTTCATTTCTACGTCCATTTCAGAAATTCCTTCCACCTCTATATCATTTACTAAGTTTCCGAGGACTTACACATTTACTTGTTAGATATCTCCAAGCTGTAGTGTATAGTTATAGCATCTATTCTTCTTGCTTTGATGAGTTATATGCCATAAACTGAAACTCTTATGTCGTGCCTCTTCTAGCAAATGCTCTTTTTAAAAAATTTTCATAATTCTCTCTGACATTTGCTATTGGATTATTTATAACCATTATAAAAAGAAGATTTTAATTTGCTGCTTTCTTTATGAGGCTAGCCCATTCTCGCTCATTCTGCATCAATTTCATAGTATAGGTTAAGTTAAAAATTCAGTTAAATTATAATGGTTTTAGGACATTGTTTTTTTTTGTGCCATGTCAGTATTATATGTTCTAAGTTGCATATTTAAAACAAAAAAAGTAAAGCACTAACAATATCCCTACAAATAAAATTTGAAAACTGTAGAATCTAAAAAGTATTTATAATCTTGATATGAAAATCTCTGTTTACTCAGGCTAGTGAAAATCCGAGTCAGATTGACTCCATAAATTCCTAGACAATAATTTAGTAATAATATTTAACTAAAAAACAGAATTTTTCATATACAGAAAGACTTGCAATGTTTACTAAAAGTTTGTGAAATTTTGTGAAGATACATTTTCTACATAAAAATTATGTATAGTGTCATAGTTACATGGTTGGTCAAAGTGACCAAACCCATACAGAGAGGGTTATATGAAAAACCAGCAGCAATCATAAATCCCAACAAAAAAACTTTCTTTATATTCCCAGTATCATAATACAAAATCTTCATCAACTCATGGTCAGTAGCATATCACCCAGTTGTTGTTGCATTCTTTCAAGAACACAGGACTTGTTTAGTATTACAATTAACACGCACTTCTAAAAAGCAACATATTTTTCAAAATGTTTCTGCAAAGTGTCTTTCTTTCACCAGTGAGTTTGTATAGAAGTTTGTACATTGATGTTTTACATATTTTAAAAGGGTAAAATCTTTGTAAATTATTTCAATCACAGTGAAACTTGCTAGCAATTGTTTTCTGGGTGGGTTTCCAAAACAACTTGTCTGCAAATTTTACATAAGGTGGGATGCTGTTTGTGTGGTTGTATAACTTCATCTGGGTGTACTGCATTCTCTTGATGATGCTATTCACTTTATTATAGATAGCTGTATTTGAAATCTCTGTGCCCAAGCTTTTGAACCTTTTATATTTTTTTATATAAATAATCTTCCTTAGAAAGAGCTGAAACATATTTCAATGCCACAAATCTACCTACAGTGGTACTGAACTGTTAAATAATCAGGAATCCACAATGAACCAGATATATATATATATATATATAAATGCTAAACACGTTTCCCATGTTGCCTTGCACCTGAGGCAACACACTACTGAATTAGCACTTGCAAACTGTTCTTATAAAATGTAATTAACCTTCCACACATATGTGAATCTTAATAAAACAAAAAAATTAAATAAATTAGAAAGAGCTAAACAATCTATTTTACAATCTAAATTATTTTAAAACAATGTACATATTTTCACAAAAGTCATTGTGAAATTCAGAAGTGGTAAAAAGAAAAAGGTTTCAAAAAACACATAATGTGTAGTATTATGTTCAAGCCATTAATATATCTGTTAAAAAAATCAAAAGCTGATGATTACAGTCTAAAAACAAATTTACATTAATAAAAAATGTTGAGTGATCTTCAGAGGCAGTGAAATTTCCACTGTTAAAAGATTACTTTCCATCAATTAAATTTTTTCACAAAAAATGCTCAAAACAGTAGTTTTAGTTGTAAATCTAGTTTTTCCTATACATTTATGCCATATATAATTATTATATGTATGATTTAAGATTTACATGTTTAAAATGTGCACATACCAGACCTACATTTGAATATTTATGAACTGTAAAAAATCCAAACAGAAAAAAAACCTTAAAAAATGAGAAATTTCTTTCTATTAATAAAGCAAAAACAACAGTCTCTTGCTATTCTTCATGTAAATTTCAACTGCTGACTTTTAGACATATTCCTGTGGATAATTTATCTGATTTCAGTTTTCTATCTTATACAAGATTATGAGATATAGAAGTTACAGGAATCATATATTTTTATTTGAATTAAATGTGAGCAACTTTGAATCTAAATATTTCATTTGAAAACCTAACCCTTACTCCTTTCCATCGATTTGAAGAGGAACAATCTGCAATACAGTTTCTGGACCCATTGTCTTAATGGCAGCCCCCATAGCACGATCCAATTCTGCTGTATATGGGAAACGAAAAGTGTCTCGCAGGTCTGCCAGAGATTGTAGGCCCTAGAGCAAATGAACTTACATCTTCACATTACATTTCTATTTTCCAGAAATGAATGAGCATGCAAAAATACAGGTAGAGATATTTAATAAAAGTACTACTGAGTTACAATGCATCAAATTGCATGACTAGACTAAAATATTATCTGGTACGTTTCATAAAAAAGTTTAAAGTGAATTTTTACCTGATTTATTCATTGAACAAGTATAAAATGTTAATTTATTGAAAACAATATTTGAAACACTTATAAAAAAAATAACAGAAAGATTTACAATGTATTTTCCAAATTATAAAATGAAAAATTTTAAACTACAACACACAGTGATTTACTGATCATTAGAGATACCCTTTCAATTGACCATCATGCGTTAACTAACCTCAATATATTAATGTCAGCTTACAGCTTTTAAATATTTTTCTTAAATTTCATTAAAGAAAAAGACAAATATATTAGGTTTTTCTTTGCTTACAAGAAACTAGGTGACTAAAAACGTCAAGTGTGTAACATTAGCAAGTTTAAATTTGAATTGAATTTCAGGGCTTGATTTTAACAGTCATTTGAAACGACAAAAAACTTCCTCAGATGACCAACTTAAGTTCCCATGTTATCCAAAGAACGACTAGTGCCCTGGAACAGACCCTTTCTCACAGCACAGCCTACTATACAGTTATCCATGCCCACATTACACATGTAATGTTGACTCCAATCCTTGACCAAAATCATTGGTAATTTCCCTAACTATGAAGACAAAAATTTGAACCCCCACAAAATATCTTTTGGTCCATTTTTTGTTGTTGTTCTTGTTTAAAAAGATTGTACCTTGTACAAGAAAAATGTTGGTACAATCCACCAAAAGGGGCTGAAAAAGTTAAGAAAAGTTCACTTTTGTAATGGAAAAATAATGCTGTTTTAGTCAATAACCTTTCTATCATGCACAAGCTGCATTTTTGTATCACTGGTGCAATCATTCTCAAGTACACAAGTTTTAACAGTAAAGAACATTGAGTATTTAAATCAACATCCAACCAATGTAAAAGACTTGTAATATATATATATAT